CACGAATGAGCAGTATGTGCAACAAAAGGAGATTATCGTTTCATTGCTGATCACCCGTGCAAAGCTCGTAGGAGTTTCTGAATATTTCACTCACTCTAGAAATCTTGCGGTACGTCTCCTCATGGCTCTTGGTTTCAAAAGGTGGACGGCCGACCAGAAACTCATAGCAGAGCACTCCGAGACTCCACAGATCCACCTTCTCATCGTGCGTTTTGCCCTCAATCATCTCTGGAGGAAGGTAGTCCAGGGTACCACACAGCGTCGACCTCCTGACAGACACATGATAAACACAAACACTGAGAAAAACACCCTCCTCAGGAAATCAAAAAGACAATGAGCTGCACTTAAGTGTTGTGCCGATAGACGATAGTATCGTGATAAAGATATCGCCTGTGGCTGATGCCTTTGACGATAGCAACACGATTAATAATGATTATTGTTGTTAGGCTAGTAATACTTTAATTAATATTAGGGCTTATTTGTTGTTCAATTATATTTCTTGTTGTCACATTTTCACAGCGTTGTGCGTTATAACCAATCACACACACACAATTATGTTGTGCTTAATAAAATGGGCCAATCAGAGGCGTTCAGATGAGTCATCGCTGAAGCACCAGAGTTTTGTTGTTCAGTGCGCACGGACTGAACTCATTCCGTGCATATATAATTCTTAATATACATTTATTTCGGTGATCAAAGCTGTATTTTCAGCATCATCAGTGTCACATGATCTTCAGAAATCATTCTAATATGCCGATTTATTATCAGTTGTGCGGCTTCATATTGTTTTGGAACATGATACTTTTTTTTTATAAATAGAGTTAAAAAGCAGAGCATTTTTAAAATATAAATATTTTCTAACAATAAACCCTACCCTTCAAAAGTTTGGGGTCAGTACATTTATTTTTATTTTTAAAGAGACTTCAACTTTTATTCAGCAAGGATGTGTTAAATTGTTAAGTGACAGCATATATATATATATATATATATATATAGATATATATATATATAAAAGTTAACTTTTTATTAATCAAAGAATCCTAAAAAAAAAGTATAGCAGTTTCCAACTAAATATTTGGCAGCACAACGGTTGATAATTCTAATAAAGCAGCATATTATACTGATTTCTGAAGATCATGTGACACTGAAGACTGGAGTAATGATGCTGAAAATACAGCTGCACATCACAGAAATACATTATATTTTAAAGGATATTAAAATAGAAACCATTATTTTATATCGAAATAACATTTTGCAAGATTAGTTTTTTTTGCTCAGCCTTGATGAGCAGAAGAGACTTCTTTACAAACTTTACAAGTCTTACTGATCACACACTTTTGACCGGTAGTGTACTTGCAATACAAGAGATTTATTCATCATACAACGTAAACAGCTTCACCGATTATAACGGGAGTGTTTTTTTAATGTGCATAAACTCGCACTAGACTGAAGTCAGTTATGATGTTCTTTGTTAATGTAAACGCTCTTCGCTTGTTTTCTGTAGCTGCTTTTTGAATAAACGAGGAAATGCAAGCCTTACGATTAGTAACTTACAATGTTTCTATTAAATTGTTAAATACAAATTCAGTCATATTAAAAACTTTAGGCTGCTTTTAGACTTACACGGGAGTTGGTTCACTTTCCAGCAATGAAACGAAGTAAATAATTAAATTAGCACGATAATATGAAACAAAAGATGACATGCACAAAACCAAAGTTATGATTACACCTGCTTATGTAAGCAGAAGGCTGACCTGGAGGAGGGTGTGTGGACAGACCAGCCAAAGTCTGCGATCTTCAGCTCTCCATTGGACCCCAGAAGCAGATTTTCAGGTTTGATGTCTCTGTGAATCACGTTCTTGGAGTGACAGTAGCTCAGAGCGTCTGCGAGCTCCATTATATACTGCAAGCAGACCATATACACACACACACTATTATGAGACGCGATCGGTCTTCATGCATTAATCATGAGCTGTGAAACCGCAGCAGACAGTGGTTTCTGACCGTGGCACTTCTCTGGTCGTCGAAGGTCCCGCAGCGCTGGAGCTCTCCATACAGCTCTCCTTTAGGAGCAAACTCCAGGATGAGATAAACGCGCGCCGTGTCGTGGAAATATCCGTAGAGACGCAGGATATTAGGGTGTCTGAAAGGAGACGAGGAGACTTGAGTTCACTTCTCAACACGCATCTTAAATTCCAAATGCATGGGTCGGGATCATTTCAATTTGAGCAAGTCTGATTCTTAACTATTCCCAGTTTTGATCTCAAAGTATTAGACATGAAATATTTATTCTATCATTTGTAAAACGTTGTTGCAACAATACCATGAAAAAAATATCAGTAGAGACACCACTCTACTCCGCACCGAAGTTGCAAATGCTCCCAGATTTAGTTTGATGAGAAACGAGTCGAACGACTCCGGAGTGATAAACAGGCAGCTGGTGAGAACTAGTACCTGAGATGTGACTGGATCTCCACCTCCCTCCGCAGCTGGTGCTCCACTCCGGCTTTCTCCAGCTGCTTTTTGAAGAGAACCTTGAGCGCCAGGATGAACTTGGTCTGACGTTCCCGGGCCAGATACACGCTCCCAAACTTGCCTTTGCCCAGAGCTCGGCCAATGTCGAAATTCTCTAAACTCCACGCTTTCCTAGAGAACACACACGGACGTTTAATATGTTTAAATATGCAACTGAGGGCTTATCTAATTAAATATGCTCTTTTTTGCATACATGGAACTGAACATTTGATAAATCCAGGTTCATAATTCTAGTTTGATTGTCGTCATATTAGAGTTAAAGGTTTTTCCAGAGGGGATCAGAAAACACTGTTAGGAATAAAATGTTGCATAAATCAGTGTAAATGATATGAACAAACCTTCAGAATATATATAGAGAAAAAAAATAAATAAAATAAACTTTAAAAGATATGCGCCATAATTGCAATTTAAGAATGCAAATAGCAAGTGATATATACACACACAGTAAACATTTGAAGTGGATCAAAAAAAAAAAAAAAGTTAATCAAAGTTGTCCCATCAAATGCATTTTGGTTTTAGGACAACTTTGATGAACTTTTTTGATCCACTTCAAATGTTGACTACGCGCGTGCGTGTATATACAGTGGGGCAAAAAAGTATTTAGTCAGCCACCAATTGTGCAAGTTCTCCCACTTAAAAAGATGAGAGAGGCCTGTAATTTTCATCATAGGTATACCTCAACTATGAGAGACAAAATGAGAAAAAAAATCCAGAAAATCACATTGTAGGATTTTTAAAGAATTAATTGGTAAATTCCTCGGTAAAATAAGTATTTGGTCACCTACAAACAAGCAAGATTTCTGGCTCTCACAGACCTGTAACTTCTTCTTTAAGAGGCTCCTCTGTCCTCCACTCGTTACCTGTATTAATGGCTTTTTTTTCTCATTTTGTCTCTCATAGTTGAGGTATACCTATGATGAAAATTACAGGCCTCTCTCATCTTTTTAAGTGGGAGAACTTGCACAATTGGTGGCTGACTAAATACTTTTTTTGCCCCACTGTGTGTGTGTGTGTGTATATATATATATATATGTGTATAAAAACATCTAAGTGTATTTTGGGTGTTTCTTCCACTAGTCTGAAAGACTGTCATGGAAGCAAAATATACCAAAACCACAAACTTGATCAGTACATGAAAAAATATTTTTGCCTGTAGTGACTAAAATATTTTTCTCCTGTGTTTTAAAACAGCTTTGAGGTGACAACTGCACTTAAGTGTAAAAACTTAGTCGCACAACATGATAAAACATCGATTGTAAATGACTTACTTGGCTATATTGGATGTTCCAGTGGAAGGAGATTCTGGAAAGCAACAGAAAAAAAATAAAAATCATGATAACGTTCTCAATGTGGCGTAATGTTATAAGATCAGACGTATCCGCAGAAGCCATGCTTACGCGGAGGTCTGTCCGGTTTGCTGGGTACAGAACTTCTCGCAGGCTCAGCTACAGCAAGCGACTTCGGCTGTGGTTTGGTGTGTGTTGCTGTTCGGAGTTGATCTGGATTGCCGTCCTGATCTCCTGGACACATGGTTTTCACAGAAACTGGGAGTCCGAGGGGTTTCTGCTGATTCACGGGACGCTGAACGCGCTGCGGCCCCGGAGCCGTGCCGAGAACACGCGTCGACACGGGCTTCTGACCGCTCTGGGTCACCGGGACCCTCTTGGCTCCGCCGGCAGAAACCTGCAGAACATGAACACATGCGTCAAAAACAGATACATGCATAACTATACTATAAATAACTCTGCTATGACGATGCACTATTAACCTTCTGCAAATACAGATCTGAACATGATTCAGCGTCGCCTAAATCTAAACGCATATAGAGAACGCACAGAAATAAGAAAACTAGGAGTATTAACACAAAGTCCACTTTAACCCTCTAGTTGTGCTCGGGTCATTTTGACTTTTTCCCCAAAATACTAGTCGAACGCGCTGCGGCCCCGGAGCCGTGCCGAGAACACGCGTCGACACGGGCTTCTGACCGCTCTGGGTCACCGGGACCCTCTTGGCTCCGCCGGCAGAAACCTGCAGAACATGAACACATGCGTCAAAAACAGATACATGCATAACTATAATATAAATAACTCTGCTATGACGATGCACTATTATAACCTTCTGCAAATACAGATCTGAACATGATTCAGCGTCGCCTAAATCTAAACGCATATAGAGAACGCACAGAAATAAGAAAACTAGGAGTATTAACACAAAGTCCACTTTAACCCTCTAGTTGTGCTCGGGTCATTTTGACTTTTTCCCCAAAATACTAGTTAATGTTATTGCATTGGACTCAAACTTACTGACTGTGTTTACACAGAGTAAAAGTACTTCTCAAATTAGTTGGGAATTTTCATTTCATTTAGGTCGGGTTGTGTTCCTATTTGCATCCGATTAATCGCAGGCCTAATTTCTCTTGAGTAGGCACCTCATTTTTTGAGAGAAAACAGCGTTATGAATGATAGAGTCAGAGTATGCATGGATACACACACGCACAGGTCCAAGGCCTTTATTTTTGCAAGCACACGTTCAAATGTGAGCATAATCAACATGCACCTGTTGTTTCTCTTACTTTCAGTGGCTGTGGAACACCACAAATGTGACGGTGCCATTTTTTAAACAAAATAAAAGCATTTCAAACCAAACATTAAAGCACACTAGTGTGATAAACACTGCAAATTTCCTTAATTTCTCTCAGATTGTGAAAATTATACATAAATGTTTTCACTCAAAAAATGAGGTGCCTGCTCTCAGATAAATGAGGCCTACGATTAATCAGATGCAAATAAACTCAAAACCAGTCCTAAATGAAAGAAAACAAGTTGATAAAAAGATTGAATCCAATATTTGGTGATTAATAGCATAAGGAGATATTTATAAGCAATTGTTTGGAGGCCGGTCATTTTTGTCCGGGAACACCACGAGTGTGACGGGAATCTGAACACAACATTAACAGAGATGAAACGGCCAAAAATAATAACTCTTCATGAAGAACACACTCTCTCTCTTCATTTTTGTCCGGGAACACCACGAGTGTGACGGGAATCTGAACACAACATTAACAGAGATGAAACGGCCAAAAATAATAACTCTTCATGAGAACACACTCTCTCACACACACACACACACACACACACACACACACACGAGCTAGAAGCAACTGTGTTTAAAGGGAAAAAATTCAAATAATGATTTTGATTGCTAGATAAACGCAAAAAAAATCTAAAATATAAATTGTATTTCTACAGTTTTTTTCAAACGGTCTTGTATAACAAATAAACAAATGTAGAGTTAATTTGCAAAAACGCATAACTCCTTTATTTTATTTTTCATTGTGCATTCCAATTCATCTCAATCAAACTGCAGTTGGGTTATCTTGATTAGGTTAAAAACTAAACACCTAACCAACACAATAAAAACCATTTAAATGCAAATAAACTCTTCAAATGCATCATCTGCTAAATAACAGCTCACGCTTTATGTTCCAGTGAATAGAGATGCGAGCATGACATATAGCATTGCTTATGTAACAGCATTTAGAGATCAGATGAAAACTACTTTAATTGTGAAGTTACAGGAAATAATATATTAAAAAAAAAAAAAATTTTAATAAAAAAAAAATTAATATTCAAATTATGATTTTTGATGATGTATAAACAGACAGTACGCAGACTAGCTGAGAATAAACACACACACGGTTTCTCTCCAATACCTTCTCGTTATCAGCTCGATGCAGCTTCAGGTCTCTGCTCGAGCTGGTTCTTGCAGCGGTTTCCATATTCTGAGTTTAAACAGCGATATTATTTGATTAAACACAAGAAATGCATCAGAACCAAACAATCTCTCAGTCACATAACGAGTCAGTAATTCAGTGCAATACAGAACACAAACACAACGATTATAAAGCAGGAAGGAGAGGCTGAGGCCTGGCACGCGACGGCACCCGTTCACATCGCTACAAACTAACGTCCCATCGAAACGTTACCAGTTACCTCCTTCAGCCGATTCCACACGAAATATCCTCCTCAAATGCGATGCTTTCCCCCTCGCCGTGTGTGGTGTTTAATTGTGAGAATAATCATTAAAACATCTACTTTCACTTCCGGAGAGCTGCTCCGCTCAGCCGCTGCGACTCTGTTTAAGTTCAAATATCCCACTTTTAAACGCCTTTAAGCATTCTCTGGCTTCTGATTGGTCAGATGGAAAAGTAAACTGGAATCCTATTGGTTGTTGGAGAACGCGTCATGTGACGCAATCCGGGAAAACGCATTGTTATATTATTATTGACTCCCAAACAGGCTTTATGAAAAATAGACATATTAGTAACAATATAGAGAGACCTGATGGAGTCGGGGGCTCTTATTTGTATTATTAAAGTTTTTGGGGGTTGGAAATAACTTCATTGATATTATAGAAATGTTTTACAAGGATATTAATAGTTCTATTATTGGGAATAAAGAGTTGGAATCCGTCGTGGTGTACGCCAAGCTGGTTTCTTTTGTTTTTATTTGAATAGAACTTCTCTCCATTCACATTTTCATATTATATAGAGATATTAATAAATCCTTCTTAGATCTGGTATGGAACAATAAACCTTAGTTGAAAAAGCACACTCTATCAGGCAAAAGAGTAGAAGCTGGCTTAGAGAGGATAGATGTTACTGACACTAACAATACTTTTAAAATTAATTGGTTATGAAATTGTCTAAAAAATGATTTTTTCTTCTAGGAAAGTTGCCTATTAAATTATCTCAATTTCACCTGGCTTGGAAAATTTGCAATTAATGGTATTGAAATATCTTCTTGCTCTTGTAATAATACAAATATTAGACATATTTTGCAATCAAATCATAAAATCTCCCCCAGAGGAAAGTTCTTTTGGAAAGCGACCAGGTCAAATCCTTACAAATTCTGTATTTTGAATAAAGTTAAAGTCAAAATACTTCACAAAATGTATCCATGTTAGGGTTAGGGTTTGGGTGTAACGCATTACAAGTAATCAGCTACGTAATCAGATTACTTTTTTCAAGTAACTAGTGAAGTAACGCACTACTTTTTAATTTACAAGAGAATATTTAGTTACTTTTTCAAATAAGTATCACAAGCTACTTTGTTTCCAATGTATTGATTGACAGCTCTGGTGTCGCCATGGTGACAGAAATCAGAAGATGTTACTGTAGTTCTAAAATAAATATGAATATGCATTAATTCATCTCACTCACACACAACACAGATTCAGTGTTCCTCAAAATTAATAAAAATAATGCAACTCAGAATATGACACAATAATTTATCCTTTATGTATTTAATCCCATTCTATTAGCTTCTGATCTTCGATGATGCAGTTCAAGCGTACTAATAAGCACACATTACTCTAGAC